TTTAGTTAGAAACCGTTCTGGCTGGAGCAGGAAAAACTCAAAGCAGCAGAACTGTAGTCCCAAGTTTCCCCTGGTAACTTCCAACTCCCTGGTAAGTTCCAACTTCTTCAGGTAAATTGAAATCCCGCCACCTTTCTTTCCTGCTCGACAACAATGTCACACTCCAAAGCTTCTACAGCTCCAGTCCTGGTACAACCTGAGGGGCTTGAATTGCATCCATCAGAATAAACAGGATTTTGTCAGTAAGGTGCTGAAGCCTCTGGGCAGAAGAGCTGCTAATTCTCCCCAGTCCTGCCAGGAATGCCCTGGGATTTGTTGTTTGCAGTGCCTGGTCTGCAGGCACGTTCAGAGCTCTGAAGCCTCGAACAATGCTTCATGTTCTGTGTAACGTTACAGTCTGGTTCTTTATTAGGAAGTTTCCTTCCAGCTACTGAAGTATGTTTAGGAATACATCTTGTTCCTATGGAAATCAGGGAGCATTCTGCCCTTGCCTCCAAACAGAGCAGGAACAGACTCCCTGTCTGCAACATCAGACATCCTGGCATAAAGTGAGAAAATCGGGTGGGCCTGCTAAGCCTCACTAGTGAGGAAAGGTCAGCCTGCAAACCCAGGGACTCTGCAGGAGGAGCTGGCAGGCTGCTGGGGCTGCTGCACATGCACAGGTGAGGCTTTTCCCTGCCTTATTCCCTGGGAACATCACACATCTGCACCCGGGCTTCCCTTGCACAGCCAGGCAGAGCGTTATCTCCCACAAAAACCCAGCCTGGGCAAAGCAGCTGTGCTGCCAAAGCAAAGCTGTGCCACGTCAGCTGAAGGGGAAAGGCAGTGCAGAAGCACTGCTTCAGGTGCTGCTCCACTCCAGCAGTGCTCTGAGCAACAAACAGAAGAGCAAGTCCCTTGAATTTACAAGTAATTTCAGCTGATGTCTCTTTTCACCTGTTTTGCAAGCAGAAAACACGTCCAAAACTCCCAAAGGGACAAGAGACTTTGTGCCTGTGAACTTGCAGGGGTGTAACATGAGGCATCTTAGAGATGTCTCTTTATTCCCTCTGGAATAAATCTTTTAAAACACTGATTTTTGGGGGGTTCTTCTCAAAGTTGGGCCTTAAAAGTCTAAGTAGTTTTGAAATGACTGTACACAGTTTCATTAAAAATATGGTGAGCGAATGAAAGGTCAGAAAGGAGCTTTTCTACACCTTCACATTTAAGAAATCTCACTTTTTAAAAGTTTAAAATGACTGAAACAGAAGAGTTTTACTTTACCACTCATATACAAAAATACATTCTCTGTTTTATCATAAGTGTAGCAGTCAAATTCTGGTGAAAGATGGAAGTAAATCTACCAGATATAAGAGAAAAGATCACTTTAAAAGTCAGTTTTCATCTGTAAACCTTTCCTAGGCAACAACCCTGCCTCAATCTAAAAGACTGTTTTATCAGAAAGCACCAGTATTGATTAGTAGAGTGATTTTGAAATTAAGACCAAACAAAACAAACAAAAAAATAACATAGCTGAACCAAGTACAGCACATTTTGAAGTGTAAACCCTTTGTAGTAGTTTATGAAGAACATAATAGAGCTCCCAACTGGAATAACACCAAAACAGCTCTCATACCTTCCTAACATCATTACTCACTCCTGTCAAATGAACTGTGTATTTTATAAGCTCAAAAAGTATACCTGGAAACTTATCTGCCCTTCTCCCTCCTAAAAACACTGGGGGAAAAAAAGAAAAAGGAGAGAAAAAGAAAATCAAGATACCACTTTGGATATTTAGTGCTGGTTTTTGCTCCCCTCCTGCTGCCAATAGGTCTATTTTAAATTCATAGCTGCCTTATTTTTACATCCAGAAGGCCAGTACATTCAACCTGATAGCAAACAGGTGTTCAGGAAAAGCAGGAAGGAGCCATTCTTTATTCCCAAGTCCTTGGAGTACAGATCTGGGAACTTTTTGCTCTGAAAGCTGTTTTCTTCAAATATATTCAGTAAAAGGAGTGTTAAAGAACCAGCACTGGAGGCAACTCCTCCTTTACCTCCTCCTACTGATTTGCAACCACCTCAGTGCCTCTCAGACAGTAACTGGGGATCATACAAAGACCCCAGTGACCAACACAGGGAAAATATTGGCTACAATTCCATGTTCTTGTGCTGCACTGACATTTTTCTGCTCTGGCAGAGATCTGTTTGGGCACAAGGTATGCACAGGGCAAGACTCTGCCCTGGAGATCCTACACTCCAAACAAGCAACACTGAGTGATGAGAAATAAGAGAAAAGATGACCAGGGAAAAGTTAAAACAGAGGGACAAAGTGGCTTGTCCAGAGCAGATCACTTACAAACCCCCTCCACTAAATACTGGTCCTGCATCTTACTCATCCCAGTTGAGGGACTTCCAACACCACAGAAACAAACAATATTAAGCTTATTGCCCCAGGAGAGCAAAGTATGAGCAACAGGCAGCATGAGCAAGAGGCAGTACCTTGAATATAAACACCACTAGAAGCATTTTTGTTTATGAAAATCAGTGTACATTATAGCCAAGTTACTTTGCTGTAATGCTGAGTAAAATACAATGTAAACCAATATAATCATCCGTATCTGCAGATTTAGCCTTCATGTCTATGTACTTTTTTCCACTCCCTCAAACAGAACACCTTTATCACTGACAGCTCATATACTCAGCTGCCTTCTTACAACCTTAAGTGATTTTTGTTCTGAAGAATATCTCTAGAAGTAATGAGGGTTTCTTAGGAATTATCTTTCTTACTGCCAGTTATCAGTCTTAAAAAATAAAATTAAGATTAGTGTTTCTTTTCCCTCATGGCAACCAGGGTCTGAGAATTGAACTGGAATATCTGTCTTTCTTAATAGCACCTGTAATAAAAGACTGAGCTTTACGGAGGACGTAAAGCACAGAGTAAAGCCTGGATAGACCACTTCCTCTCCACCTGTATTGACTGTGCAGCACTAAGTAGTAAAAAATTAATCATTCAGTATGGAAATTTAAGTCCATGACAGCCAAAGGAGACAAGATGCTGACTAAGATTTCTTTCTTTCTCTTCATGGGATTGTGGTGGAACCACTTCACTGGGAACTAATGGCTGTTAATGGCCCTCAAACCCACAAGCAGTATTTTTGGACAGATGTCTCGCTCTCAAGTTGCTAAAAACCAGAATACAAAAGTCAAGGTCACAGGCCTTGATTCTTTAGGATGTTTAGGTAAAAGCTTGAAGTATGATTTGCCTACTCTAATGCATCTGGAACAAGGCATGTTTTAGCACTTTGCTGGACTGAGCCAGGGAGAGACTCTTTCTCACACTATGAGAGAGACAGTTATTTTATAAAAGCTTATTCACTTAAAAGGAGTGTTTCAAGAGAGAAGCAAAATGTGTGCTTCATACTGAGGTTCCCCTACTATTATAACTTCCTACTCCTGTAATCTAAACCAGTCACAACTGAACATCTCTCAGGCAGTATATTAGTTTGGAACTGTATATTCTCAAAGATTTCTTACACACAGTGCTTCTCAACAGAACACTATAGATTAAAATGTTTCTTGCAAAACTAGGCAAATTGGTAGAACAGTTTCAGATGTTCAACCTAACATACAGTTCAGTTAAAAGTGGGTGTTTGCTTGCTCTCAAGAAGCACTTAAGTCCCTCTCCCGTTGCAATGCTAAGGCAAGTGATCAAGACTGTCATTCAGTTTTACAGCCTTGTCTTTCTTTACTCTTGCATCTTTTCACTTTTTGCAGTAGATATTCCTACAGATTTCAGACTCTCCTTTTGACCTGACTCTGATGAAGGTAACCCAGGAGAGCAGTGATTGGTAGTTAGCAAAAACGGGATTAGAACCACTGTTTTCAGCTGGGTGATAACAGCACACATTATCTGAAGAGCCAGCTGTGCTGAGTTAAATAAAGACTGGAGTTAAGAAGGGGAATTTTCACCTATACCATCGGGGAAATGGGATGGATAGGATACGTTTACTCCTGAAACAGAAAATAATATACTCATAGGGTCAGTTTTAACAGTGTTCAATCTTAGACCAAGTGTTTTGTTTGATTAGCTCAGAGCAACGTTGAGCAGGGTGGGATATGAAGAACTTAAGAGACCTGTCAAGGTCACAGCCCGGGAAGGTGACAGAGTCACACAATAACTCACTACTGATCCCCAGCTCTGCTGTAGCAATAAAGCTGCAATACTGTGCTCCCCAAAGGCTTCTGTGCTACTGAATGATACACAAACAAAAAGATAGCAAACATCACGCTCTTTTAGTGTCTTAAGGAGTGCTCTGAACAAGAGACAAGTCTTAGTCTGAGCTCTATAGCTAAAGGAGGCAAGGCATCAAAGCAAGCACTAAGAAATCTTGTATCGCTCACACACTTGCTTAATCCCATTCATGTACCGTTAATTAAGTCTGGGGAAATAATTGAGCGTTAGAGGAAAACCGAACTGGGGCCACAGGATCAGACAGGGTTTATTTGTCTGTTTTCCTCCTCGGTGACAAAACACGACACTACTACAAACAAGCCTCATGAAAAGAAAATAAATAAATAAATAAATCGGGCAAACGGATAACCCCGAAGGTTCCGAGGGGTCCCGTTGTCATGGAAACAAGTCACCGCTAATGAGCTTTCCGAGGCACCAGTGATTAATACCTGAGCCCCGTAAATAAATATTGATCCAAAACGCAAACACACACATAATCAACCCGCTGCCAGCAGCCCGGAGGAGGGCAAACAAGCAGGACAAGCCATCCCGGTCCACCGGGATGCACAACACCGCCCCGGCCCCGGGAGCACACAAAGTTTCCCAAACGCGGATGCGCGGGGTGGGGGAGAGACGGCGGCGGCCGCGCATCCCAACGCGGGCCGGGGGCTCTCCTCCCGTCCAGAGGCTCTCCTCCCGTCCAGGGGCTTTCCTCCGCTCCGGGAACCGGGCACGGCACCCGCAGGTCTCCGACGATCCGCCACAAGCCCCGCACAAACCCGCGCCTGACCTTGCGCTGAGTCGCTCCCCGGGCACAGCCACTTCTCCCAACAGTTGCACGGCAAACCCCCGAAGGATTCGGCTCCGTTGGTGCTGCTGTGAGCCTGTGCCTGTTCCTCTCGGCTGCTTCAGCCCCGGCACCGATGCACAGGAGCCGCCGCCACCTCCTTCCCCATCTCGCCGCTCTGCGGCTCCCCCACCCATCCCCTCCTGTCCCCGCCCGCTTCCCCACCTTCTCCCTTCCTCCCCCCGCCTCCGCTCCAACCAGCTGCTCTCCCTCCACCTGGGCCGGCTCTCCAGGTGCCTCCCGCTCCCACGCGTGTCCCTTTCCAGCAGCTGGAGCCGCCGCTTTTCCCTTGCCCCGCACGAGAACTTCCCCGGGCCCCGGCGCTCCTCTCCCGCAGGGAGCGGGATGCTCTGCTCGGGACATCGCTGCCCGGAGCCCTGCCCGGCCCGGGGAAGGGCAGAGCCGCCCGGAGGTGGCCACTCGCCTCGGGAAAGCCCGGCGGCGTCCTCCGGGGGTGGGGGGTACCGGCAGCGCTGGCGGCATCACCGCTGGAGGTGAAACCTGGGGGGGCGCGGGGCGCACCCCCTTCCCTCTTCCTCTCCTCCTCCTCCTCTCTCGGGGAGGTTCGCGCTACTCGGGCTCTGCCGGCACTGCGCGGCCGCTCCCCGCCCTCCTGGGGGGGCTGGAGGGATGGAAGGAGGGATGGAAGGAGGGATGGAGGTAGCGGGGAGCTGGCAGGGCAGGTGCGGGAGCCGTGCGGGGCCCGCGGATCGCCCTCCCCGGCCACGCTGGTCCCTGTCACCGGCGAGCGGGTGGCTGAGCCAGGAGGCGACAGTGCGGCTGGTCCCCGTGCCCAGCTGTCCCCGCCCGGGGGTCCCAGGGGAGCTGGTCCCTGCCCGGCTCCCGGCGGGAACACCGACCCGCGCCCGCCCCGCTCTCCTTCTTACCCCCCCTCAGCCCCCACATCGCTACGACGGCACCGGGGATTAACGCGTACTTCCAATTTTAAGAGCATTATATTAATAAACAGGGCTTCGGCGATTTTAAATTACTCTGGGAGCACCCAGCAGCCCAGTAAGAAACGATCCCCGCCGGGGACGCTTTAATCGGAGGGATCAGAGAGCTGAACGCCCTCCTGGCTCCGGGTTCCTTGGGAAAACGCCCTTCGGGAGAGTCGGGGCTGCCCTGCCCTCCCCGCACCTGCCCGTCCGTCCCGCACGAGTGCGGGAGCGGGGGAAGGAGGGAGGGAGGGAAGGAGGGAGGGAGGTGTGAGCACCGCGGGCATCCCTGGGCTCAGCCCGGGAACGGCCCCAGAGCCCGAGTTCCGCGTTCTCAGCACAGACTGAAGCAGCCCCGGCTAGGCGAGGGCTGTCCGTCCAGCTGGAGTTTAGGCACGGGACTAAGCGCACGCCTTGGAGCGGTGGAAACCTGGAGGGTTTTTTTTTAAGCCGTGACGCCAAGACACACGCACAGGCAGAGCAACGCGAGCCCTCCCGGCTCCGCGCTCAGAGAGGACTCTGAAGCTCGTCTGCGCACCCGGTGGTCCCCGGCTGCTGCAGCAGCGGAGCCTGCCCCTCCAGACTGACACCGAAACAGCTCTGAGATGGCAACACGCTGATTTGCACGCTGATTTGCACGCTGATTCGTACAACGATTTGCGGGCTCGCCCCTCAAAAAACACGGCCAAAGCTTCCCCTTCTCCCCCTCCCTCCCTTTGCTTCACAGCCCCGTAGCCCAACAGGTGGTTGTGACCTCAGAGAAGGTCTAAACCAATCCAAGTAACGTCTATAAATGACCTCTCTCCTGAATTCAAATTCTAATAAAAAACTGGTTTTCATTTACATTTTAATGCAGAAATCATGCAAAGCAGGGAGCTCCACAGACACTGGTGCAAGTGTGATGACTCATGCCCACCACATGTACATTATTTATTGTCTGGGGATGGAACTATGTTTAAATTAGACTGCTTGATAACAAAATCTGGATGTTCTGAACTGCTTCCCTATAATTACATTCTGGAGGAAGTAAAGCATCATTTCTTAACCCTACTCTCTCTCCCTGACACGTTTTAACTCGGAATCTTGCTTGAAAATCCATGTTTTGAATATTGAAGCAGGTGAGCTGCACTTTCTGCACAGGCCCTGCAAGTGGAAAGGAACCATCACAGAGCTACTTCTTGGATCGGGCAGGAATACAAACTGTGACTTTCTCCACATTAACAAACTTAGTCAGTTGTTTAAAAGCCGTAAATTTCAAACAGAAATGAAGGTCCCCTGTCAGCTTGTGCCAGTTCCTCATACTGGGTTGTCTCATTACTCGGCCACGTAAAACTAGGCTACGCTGTCCCACTGGGGCTCATTCTGCTACAGACGCCAAATAAAACTCCTTGTGGCTGTTATTTTTCCCTAAAATAATCACAGAGCAGAGAAATGGTGGACCACCAATTCATCTGTTTCTCTCTTTCTTATAATTCTGTAGCACTGCTGATTCCTGTGTTTCACTGAACCCTGGGAGTACAAGGGCAATGAGCTGTTCTGTTCCCTATTCTTCACTTGTGGGTTTGTGGTTGGTTTTTTTTTTCTTTTTAAGCAGATGGTATCAAGGAAGCTCTTCCCCCACATACACAAAGATTCAAAGCCATTCTTGTGAGGTACTCAGGATTAAGCTACTCCTTTTTTCTATGCTTCTCTTTCTATTTGAGTGACAAACTCTCACCCTCATCCATTCCATTGTTAAGAGTGACCAAAGGAAAAGCTATGAAAGTCTTCTTTAAATCTGACACAAATGATCCTGTGTTATCCATGCCTGTTTCCCGAGGAGCAGACGTTTTTCCAGTGGATATATGTGTGAAGGGAAAAGAGCAGGAGGGAGGGTGTTTATTTTTGTTTGACTTTTTGGAGGAAAGAAAGAAAGAAACGCTGGACTTCTAGTGGTTTTAGAGCTTTCAATTGGCTTTTGGTCAGATCCCAAACCCACAGGGCTGAAATGCAACAAACAGTAATAGGAAATGCAAATTAGGACAAGAAATTAAAATTAAATCCTGATCAGTGACTCTGTCATCCCATGCTTATGGCAGATGCACCAACCAAATGCTTGTGTCCCAACAGCCTCATCATCATCTGCTTGATGTTTTATGGCTCTTTTGCAGTAAATATAAAATAAAATTGGTCTTATATTTCAGGCAGTTAGTAGACACTTCTTGTGTTTTTGAAATAGTTGCAATCTTCCTGCTCTAGCACTCCTCTCTCTCATAATAAAAGCAGTTTAAAATCATGACTTTTGTCACAGTGTAAACTTGAAGTACACAGCTTGGAGAGTGACACCAAACAGAAAATGAGTGATTTATTCATCACTCTGGTTTAAACCAGTGGTGGAACTGGTATTAGGACCAGGTGTGCTGAGCGTGGCAGTGCTCCAGATCAAGCCTATACTACTTCAAGGTTTTGAATTTAAAGCTTTATATAAAAATACAAAAGATGGTTAGAACAAAGCAGCGATTGCTTGTATAATTGTGGTATAAAGAAGCTTTGGATGGGAACCTCCTTTGGGCCTTGGGATGATGCCACAGTAAATAATATAATCATGAAAAAGACCATAAAGCCACTATTCAAAGAATCCCTTTTTCTCCCCTCTGAAGTCAGTTGTGAACTATTTTGCAGTTCACAACATCTGAGTAGCTAATTTCCTATTTTAGCCCTTACAGGGCAGCTCTGCTGGCTCCCAAAACTAACTTTGCTCCCACAGAAAGTCCCACTGTCTTCAGCAAGGACAAGATTCCACCCTGGGCTTTACAGAACAGAGTCTGTGCTGAAACAACCCTGTCACAGGCCAAATGCTGTAAGAATTTACGTGCATGAGTTACACACAAAGATAAGCACAGGTCTAAGCCTTTGTGGGACCCCACATTTCTCAGGTTTCCATCACCAAAGATTGTGCTTTGCCAAAGCCAACAAGGCCATGTTGTTCCATCCTTGGAATTCCACACACTTTCACCTTCTGTGTAACTGTTAACATCCAGTTTTTCCTAGGCAAGGTCAGGAAATCTTAATAATGCATTATAAGCACGGAAGTAACAGCACACCTCAGTATCAGGTTCATTTTTGAAATGGCTGATTCACCTTTTAATAATTTCCTATAGCTTTCATTGGACTATTATGATGTGAAACACACACTCTTCCCACATAGTATTCAGAAAAGAGAGAGTTTTAAGTATTGTCTCAGTCATCTGTCATAGCTCAATTTTAAATATTATCTAGGGAGAACCTGCATGGATTTTCCCCTCTGGGAGGGCTCTGCCTGCTAACAAGGTGCACCAAAGGCATTAGACCCTTCCAGATGAGAAGTGTTGACATCTGGAGGGAATTAACAATCCCAGTGCTGACTGCAAACAGGGCAGTCCAAACTCAGGTGGTTTGGACACGGCCCTGGCTACCACATGGTCCTCTAAAATTGCCAGAGATGGTTTTCAGAACTAAATGTCAAGGAAATGAGTCAGGGACAGGCTTTACTGTGCTGTCCAGGCTGTAGATGTGGATATAAATATCTATGTTTCATTTGGAAGGAAAAAAATGATGTTTAAAAAGTGGATGAGAACCAAGATACCTCTACAGACATTGTTGGAGCCACGAGTTCGAAAAGAACAAGCTACAACATAAATACTAAATACGTTAAATGTATTGTTTGCATCAGCTGGGGTTTCCAAAAAGAAAAAAAGAAAACAAGAGAGACAAACCAGTAGTTACTTATGGCAGTGCAAGGACTTCTAGCTGTGTGATTTATGCACACCTACAGGCACATGCAGACAAATATATATTGACTTTCAAGCCCAATCCAGGGAAGCAGAGTGGGTCACAAGCAGAGGTGCCTCTCCCATGGCAGCCCATGGTAAAAGCTTGTACCAACAAAGCCACCCCAGAACACACCCCAGTGTGTGGGATTGGCATTTATCCTGTTATCAGGGAGGGAAGGACATTCACTCCTCCTCCCACAGAGCAGCCTACTGTGAGTTCAGGATGCTCTCTCCTGCCTTGGATGCCCGAGCCAGCCAGACTGCAGCACCTCTCTCCCACTCACACACACTCCCTGCAGCTGCTGCTCGGGAGGGAGACACTCGAAGGCAGCTATTTTTGTGTGAGCAAATGAAAATTAGGAGTTATTTCTC